ATAATACAGAGATCTACATAAAGTGTAAAAATGGAACATCTTATACTACAGTGTTTAGATAATGTTATGTGAAGCCTTTCATTAGTACGAAAATCTGTATTCCAGTGCAAATATAAACAGTTTCAAAATTCAGCACAGATACATGTATGGGAAAGTAATAGCTAACGTCCAAAAAGTTCATTTCTTTTTTGAGAAATATTTGTTTTGACAGCCTTCATGCTCAATATTATTTTATTAGATAACTGAAAACTTTACTGGGAAGAAAATAACTTGTAGTAACTTACGTTTAGTTTTTTTTTATCTCAGCTTTCATAATAAGTAATAATATAAGGAGGGATATTTCTGGAAGTCATTCTGTAGGAACTTTCTTAGCACCAATACTCCAGTAAATTTATTGCCTGCGGAAGTTCGCTGAAATTGCTTAGGGAATGAAACACTTCTTGTTTTTTTAGCAATTAATGTTGCTCATACGCACCTAAAACCAACCTTATAGAACTTAGTCAATGACAGCTAGAACCGAAAAAACATGAAAATAATCGAAATAGAACAACAAATAACGGTTTTACTTTGCCGCCAACTACAACTCTCTTTGAAACGGAGTAATGTCTGTGTTGTTGTTATTGAACAGAGTATGAATAATGAACAGAATAGCGGTGCTGAATTATTTAGGTTTATATAGTTTTTTGATGAGTAGTTTGCAAAATCTCCGCACGCTTATAAGGAAAGAGGATAATGTTTTTGTCTATGTATTCTAACCATATCTAGTTAGACATCTTCAAGGAACTCTGGGAACGAACCAACCAAGAAGCTATCACACAACAAATATGCAGAAGGAAGTGGAGATGGATTGGGCATACACTGAGAAGGCCGACTGGGGACATCACGCGTCAGGCCATGCACTCGAGTGGAACCCCGATGGGAAGCGACGAGTTGGGAGTTGGTGCCGAGGGAGACACGGAGGAGATCTTGTAAGGATGAAATGAGAGCTTGTGGGCTATCGTGTAGCCAGGTTCAAAGGATTTTAGAGATCAGAGCGCATTGGAGACGTGTTCCATTAGGAACCCAGTGAACAAATATTATAATAATAATGATAATAATTTTAGACATCCTACCTTTTATTGAAGTTTCCCAAGACTTCTTTAAAAAGTAACACTAACCTGGACGGTATATTTAATAAATAAACAGTGTACCTATCAGTAATGCGGCATGCTAAGTAAGCATCCCTAGGCATGATTTTAAGTCTTCGTCAGCTAATGGGAAAATGTGGAATAGGTTCCTTCGTATAAGGTGTCACTTGAAGTAAATATAGATCTGTTGGCATATTAAGTCAGTCGGATGCAAAAACGTAAGTAGATTTCGTTTTGAAATAGGTTAAAAGAGCGGCCTGTTTGAACTCTGGGCTACCGTTTTCTATTATCGAGTATATTGCACCAAATTTCTAATTTCTATATTGTTTTAATAGTTTAATTATGTCAACCAATCGTATTGTATATCCTCGCACGTTTTTAAAATCATTACAACCTATTGCTTCACAAGTTGATTGGAAATTTAAGAAGAAGCACCACGGTGGATGGCAACGAGCTCTGAAGCTTAGGACCATAGATCAAGAAGAAGTGTGGTGGTGGTGCAGCAGCATTTATTAGTACTAACTGGTGGTCTTTCAACGATGTATGCTTCTGCTTCTCTAACGAAAAAATTGAGTGCATTACCATCAAATATCGCCCCAAACATTTGAGCAATTACAAATACATATATATATATATATATATATATCAAACATGTATGTCACACCTGACTGCAGTTTCTCACATTTGTCAACTTTTGCTGATAAATTCACTGAATTTGCTGCTCCGGTTCTGAGTAACTCCTTTTCTCTTGTCTGTGGTGATTTTAACTCATGTGACTGCATGTTCCTAGTGCCACTGGACCATTAAAATATGGTTATCTTTTCCACTTGTATTGACAAAACTGTAGACAGTATTTAAAAATGAACATGGCATATACAAAGCCCTTGAAACGGGCTCCATTGCCAAATTCTGGCCACTGTATTGTACGTGTCTTGACGAAATTGTATCGCAAATTACACAAGAAAGCTTTCGGATACCTCCACAAGAATGTTCAATACAGATGCTATTCACAACAGAATATATTACGTTTGAGAAGCATTTTCATTGGAACAGACTGAGATGAATTTGCTGATGAAGTTCTAGACAATACTATCACCAATACCACAAGCTATCTCAGATTCTGTCTCAGTATCTGCTGCTGCTATGAAACAATCTACATGAGACTCGATAGACTTTCCCCTCCTCATCTCATCAGGCTCTAGAGAGGAAAGTGAAGGTTGCATAAGGCGAGAGATCACCCTGGCGCTCAGAGATCTAACTACTTCATTAAGTCCAAAATACAACGTCTGAATACTGTTTGCAACCAGAAGTTTCCGTCATGTAGAAACTCTTCCAATATATGGAAATAATTTAAAGAGCTTACTGGTAGAAAACAGATGACGCAAAAAGGTTGTTCGTTCGCCTGCGCGGTAAACAAGTCACTTATACGTCGGCAAGCTGGTTTCACACTTCCTAATGTTCAAAGTCAAATGGACAGCTGTTTTCCAGGTTTTAATACACATGATGTATTTAAATGTATAAAATCTTTGCATCCATTCAAAAGGTTAGGTGTTTCTAGCATTATATTCTAAAAATGTGCAGATATTTTATGTCATCCACTTACAGATATCTTCAATGTATCGTTCTCTAAAAACGTAATACCCACTGCTTGGAAGCAGATAAAAATTGTACCTGTGCCTAAACCATCTTCTGCATCAGTGGTTACTTTTCTACCCATCGCTATAACTTCCACTTTTCTGAAGACAACAGAGAAATTACTCCTACTTGTGATCGAGCCTTCATTGATGGCCTTCAGAGATCCAAAACAGTTTGCTTACAAACACCGGAGGAGTACTTTAGATGCAGCTACTGTCTTGCATCAAAATATTGTTTCTAGTCCCGACAAACGTGTTAAGTATGTCCGTTGTGCCTTTTTGGATTACTCATCAGCCTTTGACTCTGTTCCTACATCACTTTTGTTAAATAGGCTTGCCATAGCTCACACTGATCCACGGGTTACAAAATGGCTGCATTCTTATTTTTCCGAAAGGAAACAGTACACTATTCATAAAGGAATGCGCTCCACTTCACTGCTTACTGAAACTGGTGTGCCTCAACGTGCTGTACTTTCTCCTTTTCTGTTTTCGTTCCTTTTCCCACCATTTGCCTCATTCTGTTGAAACTGACTTTATCAAGTATGCTGATGACCTGACGATTTCTGTTCCAGTAAACTCTTCTTTGGATTGCTCGAAATTAAATGAATTCTTGTCTCAAGTTGATAAATGGTCTCTCAAATGGTCTCAAACTAAACCCCTCTAAATGTCAGACTGTTAATTTTAGCCTCAGGCGTGAATAAGACTTATATGAGCTGCTTAAATCTCATGACGCCTGTTACATCAATGGTATTTCTGCAGAAAGTAAATCGAGTGTTAACTATCTCGGGTTGAGTTTTACTTCTGATCTTTCTTGGTCGTCTCATATCTTATTCACTTGTGAAAAAATCTTTCATTTAACTGATTACGTAGGTCTTTTGACGCCGTCAGCAAAGTGAGTGGTGTGTCTCTGGTTCAAGTGATTAACACTGTAGTTGATAGACATTTAAATTCGAGAAAGCAGTTAGCTACGGAAATTTTAACCGACAGTGAGCATCCACTTCATGCACAACTCTCTCTATGTATTTACTCATGGAGGACAAGGATAAACTACATCAGACAGTATGCTGGTACAGGTAAGTATAAGAACTTGACTGTACCCTACCTAGCAGGCATATTTTGTGAGGAAGAAGTGTTAGAACAGAAATCACACATGAACTTTGTAATAGTTAATAATCTGATTTCCATAATTTAACTAACAATGTAGAATTTTCTCGTTTTTAATATTCTTCGAAAAACTCAAATTTTATAATGAAAGAATTGAAAAGGCTGTTAAGGAGCATATGCATACTTATGTCTTATTGCTATTACAATATTATTACGCTGAGAATTCCAAATTCTACCATAAACTGCTTGGAATAAAGTGAATTATTATTATTAGTAATGATTTTAAACTTAGTTGTTTGTTTTGAAACTAAAATTCAATTTCTGAATAACATTTAAGTTGGAAACCTTTTTAGGAAATGTTTCAAAATGTAGGTTTACGGGACATTTGTCAAATCAGCATCATAAAACTGCTTCACTATGACATTTAGAGACTTTAAATCACGAAATATCGTGCAGAATAAGTCATATGAACTAACCATTCATCTAATCTAAAACGTATTGTCTATGAATTGACTTTCAAAGTGGGTGCATATTCTATCCTGCTGATAGACATTTTTTAATTTTCCAACTTGTTTGTTGACAGAGACTTCTCAGTTGATTGCGGCAAAAATATACTTGAAGTCTATGGCCGTTTGTGTTAAAAAGCTCAGGTCGATTTTAGTCATTGCTTTCAAATCTCAAACACTATATGACAATAAAAATGCAGAGTTAGGCGTACCTTCACCCTTTTTTAATTAGTAAATAAAAGTTATTCTGATTAAAAGCCTTTTAGTATCAGTAATGTCCTAAAAATTGGATAAAACGTTTTTTATCAAATCAACTTTATTATGCTGGCCGCCATTTCAATGGATCCACGTATAAATGGATGTCAAATCATATACGTTTTTATTAGAATTGATGAATATCCTTTCATATAAGATTTCCTAAGACAAATTTCTGAAGAAACTCATTTTTAGGTGGTTTGCTTAACGGAGATTACACTCTCAAGTAGCAGATTCTGTACGAAGTGTATAGCAAGATTGCTTCATAACGGAGCTCAAAGATGAAGCACGGAAAATATGTACTTGAAAGTTTCAAGTATCTTTATTCAGTCATTACAAATGTAAAATGGCTGGTAAAGAAAAGACAAATATCTTTAATTCATCTTCAAAAGTGTGCATTCATATGTGATTCGAAACAAAGGAAGTTCCACAGAAATGTATCGTTGAAGGTCAAAAGTAAGCAAACGATGCGGACATATATTTGCCAAAAGAATGCGGAAATATTTCGAAACATAGGTAAGAGTCTGAAAGGTTTTAGGGTCTGAAATTAAACGAAAAAATGGAAACCGAAATAATAGATATCAACTGATGCTATGAAAGTTTCATTTAGATTTTCGCCAGCTTGAAGAAGTACATCCTTTGAGGTGAAATTTATTTAGAGTGGTTATTTAGATGGCTAGTTAGTTCTAGTTGTATAGTTGAACTCGTACTTAATACCCTACAGACACTGTGATTTTTCAGTAGTACTAATTTATAAGATATTTATTCACTTAAGTTTGTTCAAATCGAACTGAACAAATTATTCCACGGCTGTTTCATTGTCCATGAGGTGAAAATTTTCGAAAATTGAGTCATATATTTGTTTCTTAATAAACGTAAATTGTACTTTTTATAGGTTTTATCAACCTGTAGTAAATAGAGATGCTAAGGAAAGGATCTGTTAAGTAATCTGAATACCCTGATAAAATAACATAGTTCTGTAGTGAAATATTTAACTTCAAAGGCTTTAGTTGAATCAGAATCATTTCACAAGTAACATCTGTCCACCGATTTACCTGCGTCAGCTTTTATCATCAGTTTATCATTCACATTACTGGTAAGAGAGTTATTAGTGTATCCAAGGCTTCTCGTTTCAAACAAATTTAATTTCTCCGGTTCGTCCTACACATAAGTTTACATTCGAGCTTAAAACATAGGTGTCAAACAACTTAAAAATCATTCCGGGAAGGATGTAAAGTAAATAAAATTGTCTTCAGTTTAAGTCATAAAGCAGATTTATACACAAAGGACTGGAATAGTAATTTAACAAGAATAAACCACGTCAATCAAGTTTTTAGCTGCCGAAAGGACTAAAACGTGATAATATTAGCACTGCTTTAAATTAGTCACTGCGAAAAAGCTGGAATATAGAGTTTCAAACTTTCTTTTTTCACCGTATATGTAACTGTTTCTTTTGAGTTCTTGTCTAAAAATGCAGGGGCCTTTCGCTGATGCTCTAAGTGCAAGTTTATTTCCAGGTGGTTATGCTTCCAGAAAATTATTCTTCCACAGTTTGCAAATTCGATAAAATGAGCAAGAACATGCTGATGTATTTTTGTCAGTCCACAATATTCAGATGTAATATCAATCACTATTTAATATGTTCACAAATGAATACAGATTTAATATGAAAGTTGGTTGTTTCCGTACAACGAAAAATGCGAGCTTACAGCTCATCATTTTGTTAGTCAATAGGGGTACCTATTTCTAAATTACCTATCTAAAAAAGAGTTTGTTAAATGAAATTGCTTTCTGATTAGAACACATGGCAAATAGGAGCACTCATGCACTGCTTGAGAAGGGCATTCATCGTCAAAGGTAGTGAAGTTCCTTTATAGCATGCAAAAACTTGAATCTAAATTTATTGTAATGTGACTAAAATTAAGTAAACCAAATATTCCATGAATGATTCGTACATCTGTGCATATTTTTGCAAACGTGTTCATGTGAGAAATAAAGTTACTGGTGATTAGTTATACAAAGGTATTATTCAATACGGAATAAAGAAAACTATTGAAAACCTGAGAGCACTAAGCAGATGTGTCATCCTGGGAGTAAACTCCTCTGAAGTACGCACAGATGACCTCTACAGGGATTTCACCCAGAATTGTCGTATATTCTGCAAGCGATGTTATTGTGTGACAGACAATACCTTGAAAACAAGCAGTCTTCATGAACCTGCTAACTGAATTACTGCTTGATTCTCAGAAGTGAAAGGCTTTGAGATGAGGTTTCTTAAGTTTTTATGATAAGCCACGACTTGGACGACCAATCAAGTCAGATGAGAGGCCAAGTACACGTCGATAGCACTCGAGGATATTTGTGCTACGTTGGTAATTGATGAAATCAGTAAAATGACGGCCTTTGATTTTCAGCCCATTGCCTCAATGAAAACGAACCCACCACCAGACCTAACGGCTTTGAGTTATATTTCTGGCCAGACGGCATGTACCAAATGCTGAGGATTCCGTTGGTATGACAAAGCAGGTATTCAGTGAGACTTTCTGAGAATGTTTCATATGTTTGTGTCAGTCAGTGTCGCTTACCATCTCTTATAGATGTGGCCAAATGAGTTACACTTATCTTTTGCCTCTTTTACTTACGTAGAACCCAAAATACTTCAAATTAAACCTATCTCAGCAAAATGCAAACCTACCAATACTGTGTTTGCTAAGTAGGTTGATTTTCATCTTCACTTTTCAAAAACGTGTCCCAGTCCATATGTTCTTGTGCCGGTGACCAAAATTCCAAAATAACTTCACATAAATCGTCTTTAAGTAATAAGCTTGGAGAATAATGCATCTCTGCTTTCAGAATGAAACATTCAGTGACATCTGTTCTCTCTAGACTACTTAACAAAAGCAGTTTTCCTTAGACGGATATAAATACCCACAAATAGATGGTAATATTGCTTTAAATATCAAGGGAAGTGAAAAAGGCAAGCAAAGTTGGTAATGGATTATTGATCTGTGTAACTGATAACGTCAATGTGTTTCTTGAGAGAAACATATTTCACAGAATTAACTATCCACAACATATTTTGAAAAAATTCATGTGTATATATTACACGTTACATTTATCCAAGCATCTACAGGATATGTTGAAAATTCTTTCGGATGTATCTTTCAGAGCGTATCCAGCTGCATTAATCTTATCTGTGTTTGATTTATGTTACGTCATAATGAAATGTAAGGTACAACAAAAGGTAAGTAACCATACCTAAGGTGTGTTTGGCCATAATTTTTGTATTTTGGAGTTTTGTAGAACAATCTCCATTTGAAAATGTTATGGTATCTACTTTATTCTGCCTCAGAGAATATTCAAAGTAGCTGAAAATCATTGGAAATATTCGCTTCTATTTATTTTATTCATACCTTGTGATAGTTTTGTAATTGTCTGTGAAATGGTTGCACTGAATACGATGGCAAACAGGTCACTGAAAATTCTTCCATTGATAGAGTCTCCCGAAAGTACATTTGGAACCTGAATAATTTTAAATTAGATGATGGAAGCATTTCATAACCTCTGACTTCAACATTCAAAGTTGCTCATCAGGATTTCTTTCTAGAATATATCTAACCGGGCTGTAGACCATTTGCCTAACTTCAATCACTTTCTCTCAATCCATGCTGATGAAGACAGTATTGAGATTATAACATCATTGAAATTTTCCAGGACTTTAAAGTTTACTTAAGATATTTAAAGATAGTTAAAACTTGTAGTTAGTTGTTCGTTATGGCTGCCATGTAGTACCAAGGGTGCTCGCGTGCAAAACTCTGGGATTTAATGTACTTTTTGATGATCCTCTATAAATCAAATTACCATTGGAGATTTATCCTTCGACTGAATTTAAACATCAGGTAATCAAAAGCAAAGTAGCATTCGAACTCGGCTTGGAATGACAGATGACACAACACTACTCAGTTTTGAATACTGTAAACTATTTCTATTAACCTAGATAATGCAAGATGCTACAGATGAACGTAATTCCACTTCTGTCACTTGTTTGGTTCCCAGTTTTGAAACTAAATTCGTGGTGCCGGTATCTTAATTCTTGAAACTTCACCAACTGAACATGGAGTAAAATAACTGAGATTACTTACGAGACGATGAAAATGTATTCTTGTATGGTCGATTGACTTGAAGTGGGTGGATTTCGTCAAAAGAAAATAGTTGATCCAAATAATATACTGTTCTTGTCTTTGGCATATATTTTATTTACTGGTAGTAATATGAATCTAAACTTTAGTCAAATGTGAAATCTGACACTCTCCAGTGATCAATTCTGATCCAGTTCTGTCTAAAATTTTGTAATAATTGCACAAAGGTGGAAGATACAACATCTTGTTGCATCTTAATAAATGCAACGTGATTAGGGGCAATCAGCAAGAAGCTATAAACCTAGTTTTCTTACTTGCTGGCATTCGTCATAAAAGTGTATCTGCAACCTTCAGGGAGATGAAGTTCTCTGAGTAATCCTGTAGAAATAAATTAGACAAACCAATTGGTCGCTGGATATTACATATCATCTAGTACTGAGAGCTGACTGAATTCTCCCAGCGATTCTGTAACGTCGTCACAACAGTAAGAGACTTACCAATGCGAACACTGACTGATGTTAGTAGAAGTTAATTGGCAGTATGATCTGAACTTAGGTTTTGCACTTTTGGGAGCTCAAACATTTGGAGTCGCTTCTTCGTTTACTTCACTTCGTAACGTCATTTTAGAGAAAATGATTTTCTACACCTTTGAATTTGAAAAGAATTTGTTTTCTATTCTCACTGCACTACACAGACCAAAATGAATTATTAAATGTATCTATATAATTTGGCGCATTATCAAGTGTACTACTGAGTTTACTGAACATTACTGCAAGCAGAACATCTCTTTTCTGAATAATGATAACCTTATTCTTCACTCTTGACAGATGACATAATCTTTTGACTGAAGGTTTTTCTGTTTTACTTTTCGAGAAACGTTAACTGATCACTTTTCTTCAAGTTTCGGTTCAATGAGATAGACAATGAGGACTTATAGCGCATAACTTTGACTTTCTGCAGACGTTAGTATTCTTTTTTCGATTATTTAAAAGAATTATTCACCTTAATAAACTTTGATAATCTGAAGAGTGGGATATATTTCAGCAATACACTTAGAATAGTTTGACCACACACTTATTTTTTAAGTCAATGAAAATGAAAGTTCAGATATAATGAATATGAACAGTTTGAAACAATTGTTTCTGTTTATGAATTTCGGTAAAGCAATAAGAAGATGTAACTTTTCTGAATCGTGTAATGTATTCGCGTGAAACATTTCCATTTCCAGACACGTACTTGCCGTTTATATGAATTTTGCATTTACCAATTCAAATGCGCCTGTGGTCACACAAACACAAAAAGGACTCATTGGTCATAAGGACCACAGAACATATTCCGAAGTGGCTTCAGAAACAAATAGAGTCACTTGACCCAAGTGATGTTAGGAACAAAAGTTCTAGCCCCTCAATAGCTAAACATAATGTTGAAACAGGCCATAAAGTGGACGTACAAATGTAAATTACGCCCATCTATACGACATGTTGTGGACGTATTTAAAAGTTTATTGGGGCTTTTAATACAAGGTTATTGTACTATTAAAAAAGTTGTTGTTACTGCATTGGTCTTCATTGTTATTTTGACCTTCAACATAGACTTCTCATTCGACCAATAATTATTACCCAACTCCTTAACCCTGTAATGTTTCATATAAATGACAAGTGCATGTGTGACCAGATTGTTCGAAATATTTTGAGCGAATACACTACACGATTCAGATAAATTACGTCCTCTTATTTCTATATGGAATGTGAAGAGGTTGTGACGCTAATATCCGTAATATGGTCATACATAATATACCGCTCAGTTTATCACTGTTGAGACAAAACACCTGCTTCGTCACAAGCCTCGACTACATCCAACTGTGGTTACCAATTTACATGTATGTGTGCATATACATACGGAGGGAGGATTATTAGGCGACTTTAAAGTCCACCCTAACAACTGATGAGATAGCCAGTTATATTCCTCTGCTTTATGGAAAATTACTTTTCCAGGCGAAAAACCGACGCTTAACTGGTATATTCAGTAGTTGCTAGGGTGGACTTTAAAGTCGATCTTAGCTGTTGGTAAAATTAAGCTCCCCGTTGTGTGTATCTTGTTTCACTTAATTTATCTTAGTAATCCTGAGTATACTACCAAGACTAGTGTCTCAAAGTTTTCGACTATGTTGATTCCTGTTGACATACTTCATTAAATTAAATAAGGTATCCCCACATACATCTTTAACCTCGCCTGGTTAACTAGTACACTAGTTACTAGTCGGTCCTAAGTCCGGGTAAAGAGGGAAGGTTGAGCATAGGCCTAGCAACCCTACACCGGAAAACAAATCTAACCACTAAAGAAACTTCAAAGCACAAACAAAAATTCCTCGCTTGAATCGGAAAGATGAAATGACGCCGGTTGGTGAAAGCCTTCAAGAAGCCAATTGGCTGATGTGACTTCTCGCTCTCGATGAAAGCGAAAGTAAACGTGGGGATATGGAATGTCCACACAATTTTTGAACCCAGCAAGGCAGCCCAGATTGCAAACGAGATGAGAAGGTATCACATCGAAGTGCTTGGAATTTGCGAAAGCAGATGGAATGGAAGTGGACTCTACAAACTATCACCCGGAGAACCAATAATCTACTCCAATATTGTCACCCAGAAGACAACCACGAACACACTAAGTTTTCGAGTGGCTATCATGATGTCCACAACAGCATCGAAGGCTCTCATGCAGTGAGAACCAATCTCCTCCAGGATCATGACAGCAAGATTCTACTCAAAAGGAAGGAAGGTCACAATCATACAATGTTATGCACCTACAAATAATGCAGAGCAAGAGAAAAAGGAGGAATTCTACAGACAACTTCAGTCAACACTGGACAAGACCTCAGTTGGTGATATCAAAATTCTAATGGGTGAGGCGACATGGACGCCAAACTGGGAGGGGACAACACAGGAAGAGAACTAACTAAGGGCCGAGAAGTTCTAGGTGAAATGAACGAGAATGGAGAATTGTTTGCATTCAACGATTTGATGATTGGAGGCAGTGTGTTCAAGCACAAGGACATCCACGAAGCAAGCCACATGGATTTCACCAGAAGGACACCCTACACTAAAAATCAGATCAACTTTATATCAATCTCAAGAAAGTAGAGACACAGGGTCAGGAAGAGGAGCAGATGTAGGTCCAGACCACTATCTAGTGCAAGGAACCTTTCAAATCAAGTTGACAGCCTTCAAGTAAGCTGGTGATAAACCATAGTTGAAGTTGAACACCCAGAACAGAACAGAAAGTGAAGGACGAAACTACAAAGTAAATCTTCACGGCAGCCATCAAGACAAAATGGGAGATATCGAGGAACATCCCTGAAGAAACCTGTGTGGATGAACACTGGAACTCTCTGAAAGAGACAAGGAAAGAAACCTGCATAACAGTGTTAAGAAGGAAGAGGAAACAAGACAAGAGAAGGAATGGATCTCGATGCCCTTACTGAAGCTGAAAGAGGAAGATGGTGAAGCAGAAGATGAGTCAGTGCAAGGATGAACGACGAGAAGAGGAACTGAGTACAACGTATACAACACTACACTAGACAAAGAAGTGAAGAAGAGTGCACGGAAAGACAAAAGACACTTCTACGAAACACTGGCAAGTGGAGCAGAACAGGCTGCAGGTAAGAGAGACCTGACAACATTGTATCAAAAACCACGTTACTACCTGGGAGAGAAGAGATCAACACAGACGAAA